TCTAGATTAGGTAGCCCTAAAATGTACTGCTCTATTATAAGGCTTTTTCTTATATCAACTTGGATTGATGGAAATGCATGTGTGGCCAATCGTTTCAGCGCATAACCGTAATCGGCTACTGACTCCTCCCCTTTCCGCCTACTGTTCCTAAATTCACACCGGTAAGCTGTGTCTCGTTCAGGTGGACAGAATCTTTGGGTCAATGAACATTTCAACCTCTTGAAATTTAACAACTCCTCCCTAGAGAGTTCACTAAGAGCACGCTGGGCATTCCCGCGTAGACACATGGTTAACTTGGCTGCCATTTCATTCTTGAACCACCTATTCCAAAGAGCTACTTGCTAAAAGTGGCATATGTAATCAGGCCATTCGGTATGTTTGCCGTCATATGTATCTGGGTCTTTTTGTTTCCTTGGCATCTGCATACTATGCCGACTTTGAAGCGAAGACATATTTTTATTTTCTCCCAATTAAACCCTATCAGACATTTGATCTGGCCTCCTACTATGTTGTATACCAACATTTGTTATTCCAGTATTTGCACAGTTAGGATAACCCCCAAAAGATTCTCTATTTTCACCATTACGGTGAACTTGTGAGAAACACGCGTACGGACTGTTTATTGTAGGAAGGGGTGAATCCCTTGTCCTGAAAACATTTATTGTTTACCTCCCGAAACCCATCTTGGTCTAATGTGTTGTAATGTTGTTTTGACAAACTATGTGTTCGTTTTTGAAACTCCAAATTCCGAGAATCCTCACCAGGCAAGACGTCCCTATCTTCAAATCTGACATGACCGTTGTATTGATCAGAACACGCATCTGTTGAAAATTGAAAATTTGTTTCCTGAGCATTTAACATTGTTTTACTATTCAAAGGAGACTCAAATGAAACTGTTTGATTATTTTGTGTCCTAGTTTTAAGTTTATTTAAGTCAAACCGTCGTAATATTCGCAATTATCAAAGCCTATTCCCCTTACTGTTCATCTTTCTGTTTCCTTAGATACGACGTTAGTCATGTGATCTCCGGTAGAGGTTACTGGTGCTACGTCAACACGCCATTTAACGTCTTTTGTTTTGCTTTGACGTTGTGTATTCCCATAACCTGTTTGACAATTACTGACAGAGGAATCAAACAAACTAGACTCGGGTAACCTACGTAAATCACGAGAACTTTCATTTTTTTCCAGTTGATTGTCGCGATCCAGAAATTCCACGTGAATTATGAGTGGACATGTGTTCCTTGTTATTGTCAAGGTCAGTGCCGTTTTCAAGATTAAGTTAAAATATCTGGTGTGTACGTACCGTAACAAAAAGAATCAGGATCTCGGAACAATGTGTAACATTCACGAGCTACTGAAGAAAACTTTTCGTCTTGGTTTTGTGAATTGTGACGAACCACAGAAGGAGTAATTCTGTTTTGTTCATGTGGATTAGTTGTGTGTGTGTTTAACGTCACAGTACCCAAATTGCTCCAACTGAACAAAAATAGCTGCGGAAATCTTTTTAAGTTTTATTTGAGACTAAACAATTTGTTTTTGTATGATTTGACATTATACACATATTTCAGTATAAGTAAATATATCTAAGTATGAACAAAACGTTCACAGTATATCTCAACAGATAAAGTATTCACTGTAAATGTAAAATCTACGGAAACGTCGCCATGCGACGTTCACAAAAGGTCATCTTTTTAAAAATGAGCAAATAAAATATGTTACACGCATCCATTTCTTAAAAAAAGAATAGTAAGCATGGACTAATGTCAAATTGTTCTAAATATTTGAAGAAATAGAACAAAACATCTGTTATGCAATTTTTAAGGATGTGAATTTAAGCATGGATGTAATTTTGGTACTCCCCATTACAGAATAATGGATCGTTTGGAGGTAAATTCAAACCCATTTTTCTATGATGTAATATGGATTCATAATTAAATCGGTGAAACTATATAGTAAATTAGGATACATCTACAAAATAAACCCAGAATGGAAACTTTTGTTTGGAGGATAAAAAACGTAGGCGAAAAAACTGTCAAAATAAGTGCAACTTGGGTACCCTCACAATATGTGTGTCTCCCTATTTCTGGGAGTTTCTGGAAAAACAAACTGTTCTTGGAAGTTTGTTTCATGTTGGGGTAAGTCACTTACATTATTTTTATCTCTATTATACTCGTAAACTTGGTTAACGGAATCTAAATTTTGATTTGTGCACACATTATGTGTTTCATTTTCCCTACTTCCATGAAGAAGTCTATTTAAACTAGCCCCTAAGTTCGAAAAAATCTTTTTGGCTGACGATATTTTTTTTTTTACTGAAGTTTTCACAAAAATAAATATATTTTCTTTAGAAGACGAGCCCCTAGTGTAACGGGAATGAGTTTGCCGACTTCACGGAATATTAGAAAACATTACTAATAATATAAATTTAATATCAGCCAAATAATTTAAGTACAATTTACAATGAATAGTAATACTGTAAATATTTAAGAATAGCGAAATGAGACATAATGGTGGTTTTAAAAGTAGTATTAATAAAAATATCATCCTGAAGAAGGTGATGTTCAGTTTCTGTCTTTCTTAGTAAGTTCGTTAGTGCAGAACCAACGCAAACTTCGTAGTCTGACGTCTGAAGACATAAGACCGGCACGGGCCGGTCCTACCGGAAGAAGACCGATAGTCCCAGAAACCTCATAGCCAACTACGACCAGTACGGCAGTCAAGAAGCTATATATATTACAAAGTGGTTTAAATATGAACGAATTATTAGGTAAAACCAACCACCATTACAATATTTTGTAGTAAACATGGCGTTCTCTTGCACCAAGTATTGAAAATGAATAAAAGACTCGCCCTTGTATGCGTTTCATTAATTCTGCTTTGGAAACTTTAACAATGCCGAATATAATGGTAGCATACCGGTAAGTCAAATTTCTTTATTTTTTCACAAAGCATAGAATGATACGATATGAATCAGCAGATTTATCATTGTTTTAGAAGTTCAAGATAAATCTTTGGCTTTGTTGGATGAATAATTTTCTTAAACATTACATTTATCTTGTCATTATATGCTCAGCGTTCATCCAAGCCACAAAATCAGGTTCAGCCCACCATTTTTTTCTTAAAATGTCCTATACCAAGTCAGGAAAATGGCCATTGTTATAGTATAGTTCGTTTCTGTGTGTGTTACATTTTAATGTTGTGTCGTAGTTCTCCTCTTATATTTGATGTGTTTCCCTCAGTTTTAGTTTGAAACCCGGATTTGTTTTCTTCACAATCGATTTATGAATTTTGAACAGCGGTATGCTACTGTTGCCTTTACTAGTCCAAATAATTGGACTACTTTCATCCAGACAACAACCACATTGATTTTAAATCATTTCAGCAAAGCACTGTGACAGTCTGTGTATAAAGCAGACATTTATTTACAGCCTTTACAGGCAGGAGGCAACGAGACTGTAGGCTGATTGTAAATTTTCTGAACAAGCTCATTTCTTGTCGACTTCATAATAATTTCAAACATTTTAATAGATGTCACTCAACTTTGCCTTTGGTCTATTTACTTTTGCTTAAAATTTTTGTTTTTTTTTCAAAGTCATGTCATTTATTTTTCAACCCGGACCGGAAATATGAAATATTGAAGGCCCTGTTGTTACCTTTAATTTCAGAAGCGGATTTAAAGGAAGGCGACCCGGGTCACTCCTTACAAAGGCTATATTTATGGTTAATGGAATAATGCAGACGTTTTACGTTCCACACCAAACGCTTTCTAGTTTGGGCCCCCGGGCACCCCTTTTTTAAAATTTATCCTGGATCCGCATTTGAATTTGTCTATGAATATCTGTCTATATATTGACAATATAACCACATCTCCTTATGATGGTCCCACAAAAATGTCGAAAATGTGTACACTTCATTTTTTTCTAACGGATCTCAGTCTCATGCGATAGTGGAACCTTTTTTGTCACTATCTATATGTTGCGTTTGAATATGAATTGTAACAATTAATAGTGACTGAACAGGTTAAACAAATACTTCTCAAGAAACAGAAAAAGAAGACACCTTGGAACAGCACCAGACTATGAATAAAAACTCAGATAAGCATAGCATGGACGATATGTTAGTTATACGACGTCCTTGTGAATAGTAAGGAAAGCTATCAATAGTAGTAAAACTGCAGATAACGCAATTAAAGTTTATCAGGGTTTTCGTACATTTTCTGTTCAATTTTTCACACAATCGTTCAAAACGTTTTAAACAATGACAAGTGTTTCATTCACCAAAAAACTCGCGGTGCATTCGCGCATGTCAATTGCAAACTGACCCAATTACTTTTTTCTCACGACCCGTCCACTGATACTGACATTATCAGCGAGTACACATCAAAGGGGAAATGCACAGATTACCGATAAACCTTGTTATAACTCTCATGTTCTCACCAATGTAAATCTCATAATGACCTTCATGTTCTCAATAATGTAGACCTTATAAAGACCCGTAATGATGTCAATTGATTAATTATTATTCGTTGAGTATCAATTTTCGTGGATATCTTTGATCGTAGATCAGCAACGAATGTAAGTGCTCCAGGAAGTTCATAAGTGTCCTTGAATGAAAACTTGGGCAGAACCACATAATCATATATCCATTATAAATTCAACATGTCTTCATCTACAAAAGTTGATACACACAAAAATAAATGAATACCAAGTATTTAAAAATTTAATACATAGTATAAACGTTTAACAATTAATCAAACCTTAGTGCTGAAAGTATGCGAACAAATTCATTTTGTTAAAATGTGATAAAAGAATTATCTGCATTTAATTTGTACAAACATCAATACAAACTACAAGTTATTTTATTGAGCTAATTATGGCGCCCACTGATGAACATAGTAATCATTTATAAAAACAATTAAATACATTAAACAAAATTAAGATCTTTGATTTATAATGATTAGAATGAAAAGACAAATATATAAAAAAAAAAAACGTCAATCAGATAAGAATAAATCAATGAAAATTTTCCATATATACAAAAATATTTTTTATGCATAAATTGTTTCGTAAAAAGAACAATGAACCTTTTCATACAACATTTACAACTTATTTATAAAATTATATTATATATTTATGATTTTGATGTTCGTTAAAGTAAAGTATGTCCAGCTTGGATGAAAACTCTTACAAAAAGTCTAATGTAATAAGCGATTCTTAACCTTAAATTGTTCAAAATTTCATGTGACCATTGATTGGATTTTCATTTACAGCATTGCATTTTTTAATTAAAGCATAGTAAGCATGTAAACAGAAGTTGTATGTCTAGTCAGCATATAAACAGTAGAGGTCTATTTAACCAGCATGTAAAACGGAAGTGGTATATTTAGTCGGTATGTGAACAGTAGTGGTATATTTAACCAGCATGTAAACAGAAGTGGAATATCTAACCAGCATGTAAACATAAGTGGTATATTTAGTCGGCATTCGAACAGTAGTGGCATATATAGTCAACATGTAAACAGTAGTGGTATATTTAGCCAGCATGTAAACAGTAGTGGAATATTTAGTCGGCATGTAAACAGAAGTGGTATATTTAGTCGGCATGTAAACAGAAGTGGCATATTTAGTCGGCATGTAAACAGAAGTGGCATATTTAGTCAGCATGTAAACAGAAGTGGCATACTTAGTCAGTATGTAAACAGTAGTGGTATATTTAGTCAGCATAAAACAGTTGTGGTATATTTAGTCAGCATGTAAAGAGCAGTGGTATATTTAATCAGCATGGAAACAATAGTGGTATATTTAGTAAGCATGTAAACAATAGTGGTATATTTAGTCAGCATGTAAACAGTAGTGGTATATTGAGTCAGCATGTAAAAAGTAGAGGTATATTTAGTCAGCATGTAAACAGTAATGGTATATTTAGTCAGATGTAAACAGTAGTGGTATATTTAGTCAGCATGAAAACAGTAGTGGTATATTTGGTCAGTATGTAAACAGTAGTGGTATGTTTAGTCAGCATGTAAACAGTTATGGTATGTTTAGTCAGCATGTAAACAGTAATGGTATATTTAGTCAGATGTAAACATTAGTGGTATTTTTGGTCAGTATGTAAACAGTAGTGGTATGTTTAGTCAGCATGTAAGCAGGAATGGCACATTTGGTCAGCATGTAAACAGTAGAAGTATATTCAGTCAGCATGTAAACAGTAGTGGTGTATTTAGTCAGCATGCAAACAGTTAGGGTATATTTAGTCAGCATGTAAACAGTAGTAACATATTTAGTCAGCATGTAAGCAGTAGTGGCATATTTAGTCAGCATGTAAACTGTAGTGGTATATTTAGTCAGCATGTAAACAGTAGTATTATATTTAGTCAGCATGTAAACAGTAGTTGCATATTTAGTCAACATGTAAACAATAGTGGAATATTTAGTTAGCATGTAAACAGTAGTGGTATCGTTAGTCAGCATGTAAACAGTAGTGATCTGTTAAGTCAACATGTAAACAGAAGATGTATATTTAGGCAGCAAGTCAACAGTAGTGTTAGATTTAGTCAGCATGTACACAGTAATGGTATGTTTAGTCAGAATGTAGGCAGCATGGTATGTTTAGTCAGTATGTCAACAGTAAGGGTATTTTTAGTTACATGTACACATTAGTGGAATATTAAGTCCGCATGTAAGCAGAATGATATATTTAGTCAGCATGTACAAAGAAGTGGTATATTTAGTCAGCACGTTAACAGTAACGGTATATCTAATCATCATGTACACAGTAGTGATATATTGAGTTAGCAGTAAACAGCAGTGGATTATTAAGTCAGCATTTAAAGAGTAGCGGTATATTTAGTCAGCATGTACACAGTAATGATATGTTTAGTCAGCATGTAGGCAGAGTGGTATATTTAGTCAGCATGTAAACAGAAATGGTATATATAGTCAGCATGTAGACAGTAATGGTAGATTTAATCGGCATGTAAACAATAGTGTTATATCTTATCAGCATGTAAAAAGTAGTGGTATGTTTAGTCAGCATGTAAACAGTAGTGGTATGCTTAATCAGCATGTAACAGCAGCAGTATGTTTAGTCAGTATCATAAAAATAGTGCAATATTTACTCATCATGTTTTGTCATCATGTAAACAGCAGTGCCATGTTTAGTCAGCATGTAACCAGACATATTTAGTCAAAGTCCGTCTTCTTAGTCACAAATCACTTTATCAAAGAAATATATCGTTTAAAACAAGTAATGACTCTCTATAGAAATATTTGTTTCATATTTGTGAATTATATTAATAATAAATAAATATCAAAATTAGGCTTTAAAACATTTTAAAATTGTTTAAACTTCAATTTAAACCATTTTTTGACTGAAATGTGGATTAATTATCGCAACGATATCATTGTCACCATTTACAAAGGCAATCTATAAAGCTGACTGACCAATCCAATCACAGTCTGCTTCTCTGTCATCCTCTGACTAATAATATCTTTACCATTTTTGTACTGCCATTTGCGTAAGCCGTCTTAAGAGGTAAGTGACCCTTATCATCACATTTATTATAGTCTGTTCATCTGTCTAACAACATCTTTACAATTTCTGTTTGACCATGTTTACAAGCCTCCATTACAGGTGATTTACCATTTGAGTCACATTTATTACAGCCTACTCCTCTGTCTAACAGCATTTTCACTATTTCGATATAACCATGTTCGCAAACCTTCGTTACAGGTGCATCACTTCCTTTATTACACTTATCAGAGTCTTCTTCTCCGACTTATTACATCTTTCCTATTTTGTATTGCCATTTGCTCGAGACGTCTGTAGGGGTAAATGACCCTAATCATCACATTTATTAAAGTCTGCTTCTCTGTCTAACAAAATCTTTACTATTTATGACCATATTCAAAAGCCTCCCTTAAAGGTGACTGACCCCAAATGTCACATTTATATAATTCTGCTCCTCTGTCCAACAACATCTTCACTATTTTGTATGGCCATTTACACGAGCCTTCTTTAGAAGTAACTGACCATACTCATCACATTTATTAAAGTCTGCTCCTCTGCCCAACAACATCTTCACTATTTCTGTATGGCCATACACCATTTATTAAAGTCTGCTCCTCTGTCCAACAACATTTTCACTATTTCTGTATGGCCATTTACACAAGCCTTCATTAGAGGTAACTGACCATACTCATCACATTTATTAAAGTCTGCTCCTCTGTCTAACAACATCTTCACTATTTCTGTATTACCAAATGCACAAACCTTCATTACATTTGACTGACTTCTCTTGTCACATTTATTACAGTCTGCTCGTCTGTCCAACAACATCTTCACTATTTCTGTATGACCATGTTCACAAGCAATCATTACAGGTGATCTGTCATATTCATCAGATTTATAACAGTCTGCTCCTCCGTCTAACAACATCTTTAATATTTCTGTATAACCGTGTTTACAAGCGATTATTACAGGGGACTCACTGTATAAATCAAATGTGTTACAATCAGCTCCTCTGTCTAACAACATCTTTACTATTTCTGTATGACCATGTTCACAAGCCTTCATTACAGTTGACTGATTCCAACTGTTACATTCATTATAGTTTGCCCCTCTGTCTAACAATATTTTTACTATTTCTGTATGCCCATGTTGACAAGCCATCATTACCGGTGACCGACTCTTCCAGTCACATTTATGACAATCTATCCCTCTGTCTCACAACATCTCTACTATTTCTGTATGACCATATTTACAAGCGATTATTACAGGTGAAACCCTGTTTACATCACATTTATTACATTCAGCTCCTCTGTCTAACAAAATCGTTACTATTTCTGTTTTACCATGTTTACAAGCCTTCATTACAGGTGACTCATACCTCTTTGATTATAGCCTGCTCCTCTGTCTAACAACATTTTTACTATTTCTGTATGACTATGTTTACAGCCTTTCATTACAGGTGACTGACCAAACCTGTCACATTTATTACAGTCAACTCTTCTGTCTAGCAACATCTTTACTATTTCTATATGACCATATTTACAAGCAGTCATTACAAGTGACTGACCAAACCTGTCACATTTATTACAGTCAACTCCTCTGTCTAGCAACATCTTTACTATTTCTATATGACCATATTTACAAGCAGTCATTACAGGTGACTGACCAAACCTGTCACATTTATTACAGTCAACTCCTCTGTCTAGCAACATCTTTACTATTTCTATATGACCATATTTACAAGCAGTCATTATTGGAGACTGACCATTGTATGTACACCTGTTTATATTTACACCATGATCACAACACCATTTGACCAAAGAAATATATCCTAAATAGCAACAAAGTGATAAAGAATTATCATAGGTATGGTCATTATCATGACCAAAAATTCCAAATCGTTTCTCAAATATATTACTATGATCGCAGATATGTGCCAGGTGTCTCTGGTCAGATTTGTCTAGTGTTTTCAAAAAGAAGAGCAATTTCTCTCTAAACATAGGTATTTTCATATTGATGTTACTAAATACATCTTGTAATTTTCCCTTTGACCAGTCATCAATCATTCTCTGCATGTACATATCATGATAAGCTAGAGGTATAATAGTAATAAACTGATCCATGTCGTCCTTTCTTTCTAATACAAAACGTTCCTTTATCAAACTACTGTCTGCATTCCTGATCAAGCAATATATTATCTTTTGTCCAAAGATGTTAGCAAGAAAGTCAAATATTTTATCATGTAAAATTTTGTACATATGTTTTTCTTTCTTTATGAATGTATCTGTGAGTGAGTCAAGTTCATCCTGTAATACAAGTCTTGATGTTCCCCTGTCTAATCTACATGCCTCACATGTGTTCTCAATGATAATCCTGGTTTCTTCATTCACATCTTTTGTCAACATTTCTTCCTTTAACTGGTTGTTAAACATGACACATAAAGCCAAAGCACAGTATTCAGCGTAAAGCCCTTTCTTAAGAAACTTATCTATCTCTGCTTTATAAGTTGAATAGGGATTCTGAAAAAATTCTGTAATAATAATTTCAGGGTTATCATGGTACAATTTACATAAAAGAGGAAAACAGTCATAAATATCATAAAAGTCACTTATCTCAGATGCTTTTGCATTGAGATACACATTAGCTATTAATTGTTTTTCATTTTTTGTCAAGCAAATGTTCTCAGATAACATGTTACACACACAGGACTTGAAAACTGATAATGAATCAAACTTTCCATCTTGGTACACCTGAAACCGACAGGCTGCAAGAATTTTTGTTTGATTTTTATCAGGAATTTTTTTTATATCCTCTATGATTGGTTCCCAACTTTTTATATCACTCTGGTCAAAGTGAAAAGTTTCCACATAAATCATCAACAACAAACAATGTTTTCTTTTTAGGATTGCAAAACCTCATAATGTCAGCTGGGTCTGTCACCGGAAGGACATCAAACTCTTCTTTTGCCATTTGTAAAGCCACATGTCTCAGTGTTGCTGTCTTCCCTACACCAGAACTTGTAGTAATAGTTACACAACTGTTTTCCTTAATACATTTGAGTACATATTGGGCAGCGCTTGTACTTATAAACATGGTATCATCATTGTCCTTCCAATCTTTAAGTGTATCATTTATTCTTTCTGAAATATAAATTAAAAAATCATCATTACTGACAAAGAAATATCTGGATACAACAGTTTATCATTTCATTTTATAAATAACCAACTGATTGCTGTATTTCAGATATGTGTATAATATTGAAGGAATAATGTTTCCATGTAAATCTTCACAGGTGAAAATGAAGTACACAATGTAATTATTACAAAGGCGACAAGTATAGCCTTTTTGCGTCCTGTGTTTTGACTATAAAAGATCCATTGATAAAACTGTCAAATTCTGAATTATCAACACCTTTGTGTGTTTATAACTGCTTAATTTTGCACAAAAAATTGTTGCTCGTCCCAGAGAGTTTCCTTCAAGTTTCTCGCATTTTCTACACCAATTGCCAACACACATTTCTCACTATTTCAATTTTGTGTTCTCATTACCAGAGCAGCAGAAAATAGATTTAATTCTACCTATTATTTTGGGGGTAAAATCTAGGTGGCGCCTGACATCCTTAATAACTTCTTTTCAACCTACACTTCCTGATTACTTCTATATCCTTGTTAAACTTTATTCTTATCCTTGCTCATTTCATGTTTGAAGGTTCTGCTATTGTTTGATGCCTAATCACTTGATATAAAATATCAACATATTCTATTGGAGTAGCGCGACTAGTGTCTCAGTATTGTAAGATAGATACAGAATACAATAAAATGCTCTTAGGCGCAGCAATATATGACCGCAATCCTTAACAGTTGGGGAAAGACAGAACACTATATTAAAGCTTGACACAGCTCTGAATTTGGATTGTGATTAAATATTTTACTCATCATAGATTTCTGTCACAAAATGAATGTGACCAAAGAACAAAAAAAAAAGGATATTGAATTATATCTATTATGGTCCGATATGTAAAATCTAAATAAACGGTTAGATTCATAATATCCAAGTACACAAAGAATTTATTTTATTTATTTGTCAATGGACAATATTAGCTAAATTTTTAAGAAGATTCGTTTCATAAAAAATATATCTATATATTTCTAGCATTCTGAAAATTAATTTATACAGAATAACAATAAACTTTCCACGAAGTTCTTAAAAAAAATTACAAAAAAAATACCATTTCCAAAATATCATTCATCATTGATATAATGTCTTAAAAAATCTATAGAACTTGCTTGTAATTGTTTTTCAAAATATCTAATGATGAACAGTAAATTTCAAACTATATTTATTCATAAGTCTAAAATTAGAATATGATGCTATATCTCTTTTCAACTATGAATCTACTAACAATTTCTGTTAATTTTGCAATACAGCTCTGAATTTAGATTGTGATTAAATATTTGACAAAGCATAGGTGTCTAATTTAACATAGGATTAATGTTGTCTAAGAACTACAAAATTTGAAGTTGGACTTATTATGGTTCGACATCCAAAATCTTAATACAGCATACCAAAGAACCACAAAAAATCAATTTTTGAGGAAATTAAACAAAGTTAAATTTTAGACCCTTTGGAACTCAATATGGATCAAATTTGATAATGGGGCTAACAATCCAAAAATTTTATACACACAGTTAGATTCAGCATATCAAAGAACCAAATAAATTACATTTTTGTTGAAATCAAACAAGGTTAAACTTGGACACTGATTTGAACCAACTTGAAATATTGGCCCAAAATCAAATATCTTAAAACATGTTTAGATTCAGCATACCAAAAAAGACCCGTTTTAAATTTGGTTAAAATCAAACTAAGTTTAATTTTAGAGCTTGTGGATCTTAATGACGTTAATGAGGACCAATTTGAAAACTGAACCGAAAATCAAAAATTTAAATAACACGGTTAGATTCAGCATACCAAAGAACCAAAGAATTCATTTTTTTCTTGAAATTATACAAAGTTTAATTTTGGACCCTTTTGGACCTCAATGCGGACCAATTTTAAAACGAGGTCCAAATCCAAAATTTAAATACACGGTTATTTTTAGCATATTAAAGAACCCTTAGAATTCAAGACTTTGAATTAAACCCCATTGAAATTGCTCAAGAAAAAAGAAATTTATGCAAAGTATTAAAAATGTACTTTCTTGGCTCCTTTTCCCAAACAGTTGGGGCCATTACCACCAAAATCAATCCCAACCTACATTTTGAGGTATGGAACTTTGTTTTTTAATTTCATAGAGATTTAAACACTTACACACACGTTATTGTCCTGAAACAAGACATATTTATGTGTGGCCCCTTTTTGGCTCCTAATTACTAAACAGCTAGAACAATATCCCTAAAAATCATTTATAAACTTATACTCAGGTTTTGGTCTGAAAAACAAATGTCTTCGGATGACGACGACGACGCTCACAACATGATTACATTATACAAATGTAAAAACATCTGCGGTCGTATAATAAAATAGAATATTATAAATTGCAACCTTACCATCGAGAAATAAAGCTCAGAAGAAATTGTAAAAGCTGTTGCTATTTAAACAAGGGAATCAATGTTTGTATGACTCTTCAACTGTTTCACTTCTAATACATCCATGGCCTTTGCATATTCGGCTTTGAGCGTTCTTGATGAAGGTAAATCCAGAAAAGCATTTCGGACGCATGCGATTTATAACGTGGTATATTCCCTTTCCCTTTTTCTTTTGATTTGTGTTAAAGTCATGTTTAATGTCAATAAATATCCTATTGATATGTTTTAGACATATGAGTATTTTGACCATACGAACATGGTCATGCATATATACTCATATGTTACAATCATAAGCATATGGTTTAAAGTACTAGTAATTTTCAAGATGAACATTGAAACGTTGAAACGTTAAGCTTGAATACTGTAAATTTCATAAGGTGTGCCCATTTTTAATTAGATAAATGATTTGACCTACCAGATTAGACTTATTACCGGGTTTGTACTAACTAGAGCAACACGAGGGTGCAACATGTGGAGCAAGATCTGCTTACCCTTCCGGAGCACCTGAGATCACCCGTAGTTTTTGATGGGGTTCGTGTTGCTTAGTCTTTATTTTTCTATGTTGTGTTTTTTTGTATTATTGTTTGTCTGTTTGTCTGTTTCTTTTTTAGCCATAGCGTTGTCAGTTTATTTTCGATTTATGAGTTTGAATGTCCCTCTCGTATCTTTCGCCCTCTCTTAGATAGAGATAGAGTGATGATGAATAACTTAATTAATTTAAATCACAAGTTATTTTCACAAGTAAAATCCTTATTGATTTGTTCTTGCAAATTGCAAAAAGATTGTTTGGTTTAATTGGTTACTACTTTGCTTTGTATAAATAGAAAGAAGTACTAACCAAACCCCAATAATTGGTACTGTGACCAGGATGTTTGGGTATAGTTGATTCATACTTCGCTATGAAAAAGAAAGACATGTATACTGTGTCGATTCCACTGCTGGTGGAGTTTTAATTCCTCGATGGTATCACCAGCCCAGTAGTCAGCACTTCTGTGCTGACATGAATTATCATTGATATGGTCATATTTAACTGTTTACCAAACTTTTGAATTTTTGAAATACAAAGGCTTTTCTACCTCAGGAATAGATTACCTTAGCTGTATTTGGCAAAACTTTTAGGAATTTTCGTACTTTATTTGGCCTTTTTAACTTTTTTGGATTCGAGCGTCACTGATGAGTCTTTTTTATTGTGACATATTCGTTATAAAGATAACCTAAAAAGATACTGACACAACCTATTAAATGAAAAGTCAATTGTTTTACTAATGGAAGAAAAGATACAAGGCATACATATGTATTAAACACTGCTGAGAGAAGACAAGAAATCAGATACAACCAATATAATATGATTAAGTCAGAAGCTTGTTCGCTTTAGGTTTATAGAGGTGTACTACAGCCATATGCATGTTTATATATTCAAAGGGACTAGAAGCTACTAAAAATACTGTAAAAAATTGACAAGACTTGAGGATTAGCTATCCCTTCAGTTACATCAAGATGGTTGGCTTTTCACTCGTAAGCAAATGGTGCAACCTGCACAACCAAAAGTTAGGGTAAATGCAGAAAAGTAAGGGTACTAAAATCTAAAAGTAAATGCCATTTAACAATACATTAGTGATGAAAACTTTATTTGAACTTTTGTGGATAGTTGTCTTATTGGTAATCATACATCACATCTAATTATTTCTATATTTATGATATACAACTACCGTAAGTTTAATTTCTTTGAGGTTTGTAAACTTCTTAATAATACATGTTCATGTTAACTGTTTTGTATTTTATTAAGTAAAGTTTGGTTAATATTATGCGACATAACAAGAAACAGCTCCCTGTGATAAGACAATGCTCATACATATTTGAAAAAGATCTCTACATACTGGTAAGGTCTGCTCCATTAATACCCGATAGAAAATATACGCATATGGCAAGGAAGATATAGTCAACACCCTTTTATTATAAAAGGTCTTCTAACCACCCGTTCTTTATTTGGTAGCAACAACAAGCTTTGTTTGAATAGCCTTAATTCTGGCACTAAATAATTGATCAAAATTATTGCAATTTCGATTTCAAAATTGCCATACACACCATCATGCAATATGCATTTTTAGGAATTGAAATTTTCTAATACCGATCACCAACCCAGTGTACTGCGTATAACTGAACCTGGAACCAATATTGATAAACACTTTACTTTAACCAAAAGATGTCTCTATTCGTCTCCTATCCAGCAATTCATTTTATACTTCAAACTATTTTTCTTGTCAAAGATTTACACAGCTACTAGTCTTTTGCATTGAATTAACGGAAAACTATTGGGGCTATTTCTTATTCCTGTTACTCGGGCATCTTGCTATTGCTGCAAATTATATTTCATTTCATTTTAATTTAGCAATGTACATATTAAGCAATGACAAATCTGAACTTGTTCATTTAGATTTCTACGTAAACAAGTTACCAACCAAGCATCTGGAAGAATAATTTAAATTATTGCTATGCAATTCAATTAAGGTGCAGTCTGCCTTAAAAAGTTAGAGCAGTACATTTTGTATAGATATCAATATTGCCATCAATCAATCAATCTAATATTCTAAAGGTTTCAACTAATCTGTTACTGCCAAAGATCTCGACCTGACCCCAAAGACTCTACCTCTTACAAATATTCCTTCAATTATTGATCTTCAAGATATCAACCTCTGTGTTTACCTCTGGACATCTAATGCTATCAAATTCACCCCCTGTTGATTTCTTTCATCGAAAGGTTTTAAGATTACCACCCAGTATTGATCTATATCATCCCAAAGTACTTACCAGACCTTTCTCGTTTATAACCTCTTATATTCAAAATTATCAACATGAGAATCCTTGTTCAACCTCTTGCCAAGTATGCAACCTATAACCAATAAACTGATGATTGATCACGTTTCAACGAATTAATCTTATCTAACAATAAATTGAGTAGATGTATCGTACGTCCACTCAAATTGTTTACCTCTTATATTCCAAGGCACACTATCCTTTTGAGAAGTTTTCACTTTTTCCATTTCGTCTGTTACTTTCCTATGGTCATCCTGCAATTTCTCATGGGATTTCTTTACTTTTGTATAGTCTTCCTGTAATATCTCATGGGATTTTTTAACCTTTGAATGGTCTTCTTGTAATATCTGATGGGATTTCTTAACTTTTGTATAGTCTTCCTGTAACATTACATGGGATTGCTTTACCTCTGCATGGTGTTCTTCAAGTAATTCATGAGATTTTATTATCTTAGTATGTGACATCTTCAAACTTTCCAATGATTCTTTAAGTTCCCGCATTTCATTATTGGAATGTTTAATATCCATCATTATTTCTTGGTTGGTTTGATCTAAAGGTTTGGTTTTTAGATGATTACACTCCTGCTTCATTTGCTGCCCACCTAATCTATCTATGGCCTGTAAAATATACCATATTTATTTTGCAATTATTTTATGAGTTATTTTTTTGGAATTTTGTCATTCTTGATGACTTGAATGAAAATTGCAGGTTGAAAAGGGAGTTTTGGAATAAAAGCTAATAATCAATGACAGTCGTCTAACAGCTCGAACAAATCTGTGAAATCAGGGAAGACAACACTTACTCAAGTCTTTCAAAATCATCTCCAACCATGAAAATTAAATTTGAAACCATAAAAAAAAAATTAATCCTCAGTATATTAATTGATCACTGGTTTATCACTCATTCATTTTATATTTTGAACATGGACTTGCTTCCTTTGGATTTCTCTGAGCTTTGCTTTTTTTTATAATTATTTCTGAATCTGCATATTCTAGTTGGAATAAGCCATGTGAGCCTCATTTATATGGTAAGATGAACCAAGCCAAAGTATAGTAAACAATGTTTAAAACAAACAGGAACATCTTTACAGCTTACAAAAACCAAAGAAATCCAGAACAGAAACTTGAGTTTACCAACGTTTAGGAAAGCCAAACTACAATTAATTTACAAAAATTCCAACCACTCGAAACAATCCACTAATATATTCGGTCATTGTTTCGTAAATAAATCAGACATTTATCTTTCTCTCTTAAATTGCTCTGCATTTTTCATTGTGGGGCCTTTTGTTAATGACTATGCAGGATGGGTTTTTGTCCAAACAGGTTCAAAGATTTTTTTGAAAGTTTATGAAAAACGATAGATAGGCGGACGCCAACAACTAAGCCTAAGGAATGGCAAAAGCTCAAATGACCTTTTGCAGACTTCCCTCAATAATTTTTGTTCAAATTTTACTATTCTAACTATTGATTACAATTTGGTTAATGACCAGAATTTCAATCGAAACTGTATCTTTTTAACATGTTAATCAGTTAATAGCTTCACCAGTTTTTAGAACTGTTTGGTTTTTGATGAAAATGTTTACACTTAAATGATATCTGACAAGGTTATTAGCTATGTATGTGTTCAACCATCAACAAGAGTGCACAAACTGAAATGTCTGGCATGCTTTATTATCCTGATTGAAAATGATATATACATTCATGTTTCAGAAAAAGGGTGAAGGTTTAGTACCATTAAAACGTTTAAACACGCTGCAATTGTTTGCACCTGTCCTAAGTCAGGAATCTGATGTTCAGTAGTTGTCGTTTAATGATGTGGTTCATACGTGTTTCTCGTTTCTCGTTTTTTATATATATTAGACCGTTGGTTTTCCCGTTTGAATGGTTTTACACTAGTAATTTGTGGGGCCCTTTATAGCTTGTTGTTCGGTGTAAGACAAGGCTCCGTGTTGAAGTCCGTACTTTGACCTATAATGGTTTACTTTTATAAATTTTGACTTGGATGGAGAGTTGTCTCATTGGCATTCATACCACATCTTCTTATATCTATGTAGGTCAGATGAATGCTGCCGGACAGATATTTAAATGATACATTCTATACACCAAACATAATTTATCTATAGTTTAAAATATCTCAGAAACAGAACAACCACAAAAACGCAATGATGACTAATGAAAATGTGGTCAAGGCTAGAATACCCTGTAACACGGATATGCACATCATACAATCATTTGCAGAAATCAAATAAAGTAAACCAGTTTGACATAGAATTTCTGAGAAACAGACCAAACTATTAAAAAAACCTAGACAATGAAACATGAAAATGAGGCCAAGGTTAGAAGAAATCTATAAACTGACATGTACATCACACACTCATTGTATACACCAAATGGAGTTAATCGTAAGTAAATATATAGTAAGCCACAAAGAGAACAGATCTCTGAAACTTAACATTGTTGATTATGATGGATGCAAATTAAATGCATATATTCAGGATGAGAACATATTAATGATTTATAGATTTTAACTATTCTTTGTACAAAACTGACATAACATGTTGTGTCAGATTTTCAAAGTACTAGTACAAGGTCCGCAGAAAAGAAATTTCAATCTACCTTTACACATTATTCTGACTCCGATCGGACAAGTCTTTACTCCTAATTCTGAATGTTACATGCTTATGAGAAACCAACAAAAACATAAAACTGTACCATTAAATAATTAGTCCATTTAATGAGGCTAAGGTTTTGATGAAGCCTGCCAAACGAACATGGAGATTAACCAAGGATTCAGATTGTTTAAGGAATTTGTAGTTCCAGTGAAATTTCCAGTGAAATCGAATGTTTTATTGTGCATTAAAATAAGTTGCCTTAATAACTTTATGTCAATCAATGTGTTTGTATAATAATCAAAATGACATGTAAACCTTATTTGTCGACACCCTTTTTATTTGACCACGGTGAGCACTATGTTTGTTAATATTATTTTACCTGTGACAAAAAGCTGGTAAAATACATTACAGAAAAAGTATAATCAAAATCATAATTAAACATTTGTAAGCAATTAAGTCTCAACCTCTACAGATAGCAACAAGGAATAAAAGTTGAATACATTCATCTGCAACGACTTGTTTCGTTCTGTTAGTACTTTCGTTGGTCATATTATATGTGAACTGTTCATTCTGTCCGGTGTGTTATGCAATAAATAATTTTTCAGCAGTAAATGTACTATCGATGCAAATGATTTGATTGAAACCTTGATAAATCAAATATACAATACAAGGTAAAATTTTGAAATTGGACACCATAATGGTATATGCAACCTAAGACGACTTCAACCTCAGAGGAATCAGAGTTATTTTGGGTCCCTTTGACCTAGACTTGTCAAGGTTTGACTGCATAACTATCCTTTACTTCATAATAAGCGAGATATTCACATGACAAAATAAAACTATACACTTTTGTTAGAACAACCTGATTCACTAAAATGAGGTCATGGACAATAGACATATTACAGACCGAAACTTAGTAATATAAGGCTTGTATATACAAAGTATGAAGCATCTAGTCTCTTAGTTTGTGAAAAAATAAAGCTTTTTTTAAACAAATAGTGTACAAAATTTCCGCTGTCACCAAAGCTGCAGGTGGCGCAGATACATGAGATATGTATTCCTTAGTCTTACATTCTGCTCATTTTGATGCAGGCTAGACAATAAACAGATATATTTTCCATAAATAAATTAATAAGATGATTAGTGTACTTCGGGGAAATGAATTAAATTTGATTTCTGATTTTTGTTTCAAATATCTTTCTACATGTAACAGGTAGTTCAAAGTTCCTTATCTTGACCTTGATATAGATACATACACACGTTATATCATTCCATGCAGTATTGAAGAACCCTGTGTCTAGTCTGCCATCATCCAGATGAGCCAGGTAATTCCTGTAGTGCTTGATCCTTGCTAAATCTGCAGCATGAGTGGTCTCCATTACAGAAGGTAAACGGTCAAATCCACAAAGAGGAGGGGTCATTTGAGTCAAATTTCTCAGTAATAGTATCATCAAAGTCACATCGAATGTTTTAGAATCTGGAACATCTGGAAAATACATTATAAAAGTAATAACACTAAAAAGCAAATAGCTATCATGTTCATTCGAACTTACTGTAATACCACTATTTATAAGAGAATAATTTGGGCTCACATAAATGTTTCTACAAGCCAGTAACAGGAGTGGTTGCATTGATTGGTGTATTTCTATATAGCATAAATCAAGAAACTTATTTTCTTTTGAACTGTGTACATTTTGTTACCTTTATCCGATTTTGTATTGCTCAATACTATATATATATATATTCATCGTTGAAGGCAATCCTTTAGTCTTTGTTGTAGCAATAGGTGTTACTCCTTGTTGAGGGCTTTAGTGCAATATATAAGATTTATTTATTGTTTATTGAAGACAGTCCTTTGGTCTGTAAAGTAAACTATAGGTTTTACTCATTGATGTGGGCAGCCCTTTGATCTTTGGTGTAGTGTATGGGTTTTACTCATTGTTGAATGCAATTATTTTGTATTTGGTGTAGTTTATGTATCATTGCCAACCTTATGACATTGGTTATTATATTTTTTTACTATTTTTTGCTCACTTCATATCTATATATATATATATATATATATATATGAACTGATGGGTGTTTAGTATTTTAAATGTCTTTTTAAGAAATAAAAAGCATATTGTGTTGCATATACTAGATCGACATCAAATGTTCTGTTCAAACATCACAATTTACAAAAGACATTTTAAAAGTCTGTATTAGCTTCATAATGAAATAACATTTCTTAATAAGACGATAAAAAGTGTGGGTTTTTTGTTTATAATTGACGAAACAACATAACTGCCTTGGGCAATTATACATCGTTTTGATATTACAAAACTCATAAATGAGCTAGCAAATATCCAATGGGAAAGTTGATTGAAATTTTGGGGCCTCAATGCTCTTCACCTTTATACATGTTTGGCTTCTTTACTATTTTGATCTGAGCGTCACTGATGAGTATTATGTAGAAACGCGCGTCTGGCGTATTAAATTATAAGCCTGGTACCTTTGATAACAAATTACAATATGGTTTCATTGATCAAATACACGCATTTTTTTATTACTTTTTCAAATCATATTCTGCTAAGTGTGATTTCAGAAATATTTTGTTGTATTAAAAGATAGCAGGGCACAACCAAAGGGGACATCTCTTGATTATGATCTTGCGAATGAAATAGAGTGAAACTGTATTCAAAATACTTGAACATTACTAAACTATGTTAACAAATAGATTCTTTTAAAAAGAGGGATAGAGTCAACGGTTTTTTCCTTTATTTTATGTTTTTTTTTATGTTAAACAGTCTTTATTTGGAAAATCTTAGATATTCTGCAATATTTAATCCATATATTATTTATATATTCTATCAAACTACAAAGCTAGCAAATAAAAATTACAAGCATCGTGAAACAAAATAGGTACAGATGATGGGAAATGTCATTCATAATAAACATTATTGCAATCCCTAATTCTCCCTGTATGATCATCCTTAAATACTAAAGTGATCCGTGTATATG